GAATTCAATTAGAACTTTCTAAGAATCAGCAAAAGCAGAAACAGCTATTTTAACTTTCCTCGAAATAGACATTTATTATTATTATATATAACATTAACATTTTTTTTACTCAAAGTTCCTTTTATATACGTAATATGTATTATGGCTTAGATATTCAATAAGAGCTTTCTAGGAAACAGCAAAAGTGGGAAACAGCTATTTTAACTTTCTTCAAAATAGACATTTATTATTATTATACATAACATTGATAGCATCTTTTTACTCGAAATTTCTTTCATATGTACTGTAGTATCATTTAGATAATTGGATTAACTTTCTAGGAATTGTCAAAAGCGGAAAATAGCTATTTTAACTTTCTTCAAAGTAGACAAAGAAATGTATGATAGTGGTATAAATTATAATAGTACAACATAATGTTATTTATTATTCTAATTGTATTATGTGTTTCTAGTAGAAAGATTTATCTTCAATTGAAAAAATCCACTTGTAGATTTGATGGCTTGTTACATTACACACTGTATTAAGGATGATAACTTGGAGTTGGTGAATAAATATGTGGCGAAGATATTTAATTATTTATACATTTACTGCGTACTGCTGATCTTATATTCTTAGATGATTAAAATACGGAATTTCCGTATGCAAATTTTTTATAGGGGATCATCAAAAGTTGCAGCCGGTATCCTTACACGAATAGAACGTACAAAGCGAATAATTCGAATAAAACTATAAAATGAATAATTCAAATAAAATAAATAATTCGGATGATAATAAATGGTCCGAATAAGAAATTGTATTAGAAACTCTAATAAGCAAAATTTTAATCTAAATTTATACACGTGTAACCGGAAAATGGACTCTAAAGTTTTATCGGAATGTCCGGAATTTTATAACCACCAAACAAAATTCAAGAACTTAGTCATGTGAGTAAAGTATCACGTGAAACTAATTTATCGTGATTAATATAATTAATTATACACACGCCAAGTGGTGTTTATTATATACTTATCAAAATTATTAAAAAAAAAGGGTAAAGAATTTTGTCGAGTTAAACCAAAACCGAGTTATTGTTGCCAAGTTTACATATATGTATAATGATTACAGACTTGGCATGAAAAAATGCTTCCTTTTTCTTTTCATTCTAAGAATTTGAAATTCTGACAATTCTGACTTTTGAACACTTTTTACTGTAGCTGCTACAACCTTAAACATAACCTTAATTATGATGCGCGTTATACATCTATTATTATTATTATAAAAACAATATAAAAAAGATCGGCAATTGATGTGATAAAATCGGAAGGTCCCCCCTATGGTGCTGGCTGTACTGTATGTATATATTGATCGAACATTTATGGCGCGTAAATAAATATTAAAAAAAAAAAATTACCTTTACTATATTTATAAGAGATAAGGAAATAAATAAATAAAAAAGATATCGAAGATACTGTTTGTAATATAACTTAAAAAAGATATAACTAAAAAATCGCTATCTAACATTACGTATACTTTTGCTTTTTTAGTATAATTATTGTAAAGAATATATTATTTTATGCAGGAAATTAATAAATCCGATTTTTCTTTGTTAATTAATTAATTTAATTAATTTATTCAAGAAATACATCTCATTCCTTTCTACTCTTTAAAGAAATTGCCAGCATTAATCCAAATAAAAATTATTTATTATTATAAATATATAAAAAGAATATCAAATACACAATAAATTAATCTTACGATAAATATAACCATATATGTCTGTATCAGGATATAATATATTTGGAAAACCCTAGATTTTTTTGAGATTTGAAAAAAAGAAAACATGCTGACAGCTACTAGAATAATTCAAACATGCAAATAGCGTGCTATCATCATTGTAATTATACATACATGTAAATGATATTTCATAGTGAGTGACTTATAATTTTGTAAAAGAAAATCTATGTAGAAGATTGTTATTTGCAAAGTCGATGATTGTTAGTGATTAACGGCAGCGACTAAAATGATACGATAGTGAAAACATCCTGATGGAGTAATTAATTAATTATTCGTATAAATAAATAAATAAATAAATAAATAAAATAAATATGTATTTATTATTTATTTACATATATTACTAAATGATTGTCTTTATTTTTTCTATTGAACAACAGCAAATAATAAATAAATAAATAATAATTTCTTATCAAGATTGTGAGTTTACATAGTTTATTTATTGGTTCATATTGTTATTGATTATTTTGGTAATTTAAATAAAATAAATAAAACCAATTATATAATCAAAATAAGTTAAATTTTTTTGGTCAAAAAATTTATATAGATTTCCCGCCTTTAATCTACATCTGATAATTTACTAAAAAATCGTCATACATTTTCTACAAAGAAATAGTAACAATAGTTATTTTTTAATCGTTTGCTAAGTTTTTTCTTGCTTTTCCTCATTGTTTTCCTAATTGATTTTTCATATCATCGTCTTATTCAATTATTATAGTATATTCGTTTAAAAAGTTTAAAAAATCTTGTTCTGTATATAATCGGAAATCTACGGGAAAAAGAACGGATACAAGTATGTACGCCAAACTACTTTAGGAAGGTCTGGAAAATACGTGATTAAGAGACCAACCCCCATTCTTTAAACACCTATTTTCTGGAATATAATAATTTTATAATATCTGACAAAAAATTTAAAATTTAAAATTTAATTTATTATCCGATTATGTCACATGCACTAATTACGTCAAATTTAAATAGAAGTAAATAAATATACCGTTTTTATTATTATAAACTGCTGCTTAATATAGCTCGATTTTTAAAAACTTGTTTATTTATGGCATAATATATACATATATGCTAACTAAAGTTTGCTAAATACAGATCTACATAATCACAATGGACACGATCGGGTGTGTGTTTATGTGTGTGAAATATACGACCTAATGTGTAAAAGTGGACACAAGTCAAAATTATAGACATACTTTGTTCCCTCTAGCAAATTTCAAGGTTTACCAATAATCTATCTACTTGATAAACATGTAAATTTGGTCTATTATTTTCTAGATGTTGGTTAAGTGAACTAACGTTTTATTAATTTTTTTTTAGTGAAATTAATTTCCCACCATAAAGTCAATTTATTTTTCCTAAATCAAAAGTTTGAACCCTAAAATTTATTTATTTATCGTCATATGGACACACGAATACACACAGAATATAAAGAAAATTGTAGTGGTGATGATTCCTGTGAGATCAAAATACTGATTTCGTGTTCTTGTCTAGATCATAATTTTGTTTTTATATGCATTGAAAATCTCTTTTTTTTTTTTCAAGAAATTAGTTTTTTACGCTACACAATAAAATAACATTTTGATAATGTTCATTGACTAATTTATAAAATGAATGATGCGTTAAATGATTAGGCAAGACATATGTTTTTTGTTTACAAAAATTTTCTTTTTTTTGGTCCAGATCCTGATACTAGAATAGAATTCCATAGTACAAAAATCAACTTTAATTTGTGTGTATTTATAATGTATGCAGAATTGAATTTGATAAAATAAATAATCAATAATTAATTAATAACAGTCTACTAAATAAAATTTGTAAATTAATTAGCAAAATAATTAATTTCAAAAATTAATAAATAATTGTTACATAAAATGCTAATTGCTTTTTTTTTTTTGCAATTTTCCCTTTTAATAAGAAAAAAATTCTTAATGCACAACAGCAACAACAACAAAACAAATAATAAATAATAATAATCGTTTTAGTCATTTAATGATAATAATAACACACAACTCAATAAATAAAAATCGTCGTTATAGTTTTGAGTATTATAAATTTGTACAACATAAAAAATATACAAATCTACAACGCGCGTTTGTTATATATATTTTTTATTTCTCCCATCAAATATAATTCTTTCGTGTACAATGATAATAATACCTTTCCTCAACTGCAAGTTACCGTTGGGCGTAAAAAAAAGATTGAATCATAATGCATCAATATTATTATTATTTATTTATAATGAAAATAACCAATTTGATTTTTTGTTGATTTATCTAGATTCAAAAAAAAAGTTATAATTAGTAAATAGTATAAGATTATTTTTTGAATTAATATATAATTGCATTTTGTGTTTAATTGATAAATAAATCGAATATTTTTTTCTTTGTTACTTTAATTGCAAATTAAATCAAATGTAATATAATGAGATAATAGTAAATAAATTATAACTTGTTATTGCGGAAAAACATCAAAAAGTTACTAATTAATAATTAACTAGTTAGTCAACAAGTTAATCCATGGTTTCGTTACATGTTACTTCGGCTTCTTTATCTACTCCGCACCATTCTATTTCTACTTGTTTATTACAATTTCACTTCTCTAATCCTATTCTTCAGTCGACTGGAATTCATTCATTAGTCCATTAATTCTTTTAATAATCATAATCATCTTCGCTGCCTAATTTCTAAATACTTTAATTCAAAAAAAGAACACCAGTTTGATAAGGAAAAAAAGTAATTATATTCATCAAAAAGTGCCATTTATATATGTAATACCATGTGATTTGTTTATTAAAGACATATATGTATATGTATATATATATATATACATTAAAGTATATTGATTCTGCAGAATACAACAAAAAAATCGAGCCTTGGCGCATGACCTAAATTCGAACAAACAAATAAATAAACTAATAATGTGCGTGTGTTCAGTTGTTTTTGTTTTAAGCATTTTAAATGTGACAGCTTTACTTTTTTTGATTATTTTGAGACAGCTATATAAACAAAAGATTTTCGTTATTTTGTATGTTCGATGATTTTATCTGAAAACCTTTTTTGAAAATTTTTTTATAAAACATTTTTTTATAAATTTTTTTTTTAAATTTCTCGTAAATCTTTTTTAAATTTTTTAATAATAGATGAATTTGTAGATCATCTGGACTTTTTTTTTATAAGAAATATAAATTCAAAAAAAAAAAACTCTTGTTGGAAAAATACATCATGTCACATCATCATAGAACATTAATAGACTCATCTTCGTCATCATCTTCTACTGCTTCTGCTATTGGAAGTTTGCCTTCTTTATCAACACTGTTGAGAAATTCGCAAACTTGTCACAACAACAATCCCATTGATAATAATAGCAACATTATTAAAGATGGTAATTTGATATTTAATAAATATTTACACGAAAATAATTAGAGATTTTTTAAAATTTTAACTTTTCTTTCCTTTTTTTTTTTTTTTGGCATGAAGGAATCCGTTTGCCATCGATAAAATGCATAGATGATATTGATGATATCAATTACAATATCCACAATAATAATCATTTACAACGATCCCCTCCACTTCAATTCCAAAATTCTCCACAAATAAAATCAAAAAAAATAAAAAATTTGGAATTACCAATTTCAGATCCTCATACACATCCTCCACATCCTCTTCCTCCTTCTGATTGGCCATCAACCAATCAAAATAAACCTTATCGACGACATTCCTCATCGCAATCAGCTAATAGCAGCTGTAGCAGCATTAATGGTAATAATGGATTTGCAGATGGTATTTCACATCATTCCAATGATATTAATGAATATCATCAAAACTCGGATATAAAAATATCGTCAACTTCATCGACACAACCAACACAACAACAAAAAATGATTCCTGTCCGATTTGTTACGAGCAATTATTCATCGGATTGCCAAAACAATAATAATGGTGATAATAATAATATTGGTTGTAATACCCAACCGATGGCTGTTATACCTGATCCTCAAAAGTTTGCGATAGACATGAATAAGGTAACAAAAATTTTTTTCGTAAAACTTTTATCATTAGAAATCCAAATAAATAAATAAATAAATAAACATAGGTGACGGAACATTGTCACTTTATTGGCCAACATGCAAGCCTATTTGTGGAATTCTGTCGAAATAAAAAATTCCACGATGATGGGCCTGGTACTATCGCTGATGGCGATAAAAAAAACGTAAAACTTGAACAATTTTCTTGGACGACATCATCGCCAACGACAGCAACTTCGACCGTTTCTAACGATATTCCGCCGAACAGCGAACAGCAGCTGGTCGAGATGGTGAATAAGACATATGATGTGCTGAATATCCTAAATAAAGTCAAGCACTATCTACAAAAACCGATTATATCGGTATGTAAAAACCATTATTATGAATATTATGAAAAATAATCAATGAATTAATAAATTAATGGAATACTTTATTATAATTATTAATTGCAAAAGTCCGATCAGGAGACGATAAACATGATCAGGAAAAAAAGAACCACAACCGGTTCTTCTGCGGCACGTACAAAATATCGAAAAAGAAATGTACATTCATTTTACCAATTATAAATTTTTTTCTTCATTTATAATAATAATAATATTTAATAATTAACATTATAATTATTTAGAAACGTGCTGCTCCTCCTGGTAGATGTCATTCGTGCAATATCTCCGAAACGCCGGAATGGCGTAGGGGTCCTGATGGAGCAAGAACTTTGTGTAATGCCTGTGGATTGCGTAAGTTTTTTTTTATTTTTTTATTTTTTTTATTTAATTATGATTTAATATTTAAATAATTTATTTAAACAATGATATTAGATTTTGCCAAATTGACAAGAAAACGGCAGCAGCAATTACAACAACAACAGCAGCAGCAGCAGCAGCAGCAGCAACTACAACAACAACAACAACAACAGCAACAACTATCACATTTTAACCATCATCAAAATCAACAATATTCACAGCCGCCACCGCCGCCATCACTTCATCGAGTAACTAATCATCACATTTATGTTGGTGATAACAATAATAACAACATACAATATCACAGTCCACCTATACCCCCTCATCAACTTCCTCGGCCACATTCTTTATCACCACCACCCCCTCATTCATATATGTAGGAGAAGAAAAGGATTATTTTTGTTGTTATTAAGGCTTTAAGCAAGTGAGATTTCTTATTAGAAATTTCTTATTGTATTATATATATCCTCCCTTCACCCTCAATTATTTGCTTAAATTATATTATAAGATGCAACAAGATTATATATATGATTATAAACTCACTTGTATACATACATACAGCATATACAAAACATAAGAATCTAAGAAAATAAAAAGACATTTATTTATTACAAAATTGTGATGATGAAAATTTAAAGTATGTCACGTGTATTTTATAATAACTAATCGTTAATAATGTAATTATGCTTTACAAAAAATAAATTATAATAAAATAAAATAATTGTTACACTCCTATACATATGCATGTGTAATTAAACTGTACGCGTAAAAGGTTGAGTAATAATAAACAGTAATATAACAATTTTTTTATCTAGATCGTTCTCGTGCAACGTCTACATATTATTTATTTTTTTGCAATTATATTAGTATTTATAAAAATCTAATCGAATTAAGTAAATTAATTGAGATAATTGGATTTTTTTTTTTTTTTTTTTTTTGATTTATTGCATATATGCATAAATTTACAATTAGATATATAAAGTGTTTTCGTAGATCTTTTTTTTTACGTATAAATATAAATTAATTCATTGAAATTAATGAATTTTGTTGTGCATCTATGACAAATTTTATCGAGTTGATTGAAAATATTCAGTAAATTTTGGTTTAGTTCAGTACATTTTTGTAAACAAAAGCCTTGATGTGGATTATAAATTATACATTGAAGCTTTTAAATTTTTGTGAATGAGTAATTTTTATAATTTATCTATTTAAAGACGAAATTCTAGATCTATTGGCATAATCGAGATGTATAATAATAATTTTTTTATTTCCAAATTGATAATCAAGTAAAAGAAATTTGGCGTTTTGTTTTTTTATTTAACCAATTCAATTAAGTCCAACCCAATCCAATCTAATTCAATTCGATTCGTTCTAATTATCATGGGTTATTAGGGTTGGATATTTTTAGGTAAATATTGCCAAATTGATTAAATAATAAGAATGCTAATGAGTAATTACAATAAGAGATAAAACAATCACGTATGACTGGCTTATACAACAGGCGGCGTACTTCAATTTCAAATAATTGATTATTGATGATAATCGTGGTGATGTTAGATTTTAACCGGTAAATTAGTTGTTGATTTGGGACCAAATAGAACAAACACGCCCCTATTCTTATTCTTATTCTTTATTCTTTATTCTTATTATATTTTTATTATTATATTATCACATCTTGTCAATTTTATCTTCTGTGTAATAAATTACATAAGGAATTCCATATAAATAATTATTTATATACATATATACGGCATATTAATTTGGTTTGTGTAAAAATACGAGATTATTTATTATAAAGTCAAAGCTCGTTACAGCGAATCTTATTACACTGGAAATGGTCTTTTATTTATGACCCAGTTCACCATATAATGGATTTTGTTCATCATAGCGAACTTATTAATAAAATATCCTTATTATTTGTGTAGGGTAACAATGTTTCTGTATAAAACATATAATAACAATATAAAAAATCTCATCATAGCGGAAATCAATCACAGTGTCACTATCCTATCGGGTTTGTTGGTATTTTTTTTCTTTTTCTTTTTTACAAAAAAAAAAAAAAAAGATGTCTCGAATGTGTAAAATATTATTATTAATATTATAAATTCGCGTAACATATTGGGGTCTTATGACAGCAGATCGACATGTCTATTTAACCGACATTCATTCATTACATTATGGAAATATGGGCGGTTTTTATATAATAATATATAAAATCGCACAACTTTAAAATTTTATAGCTTTTTTTTTTTTATTGACCAAAAACCCCCCTCTGTTTTATTATTGTAGAGTAAAAGCTACAGTGAGTCTTTTGCTCTAGCGAGTCAATGAATTTTAAAGATGATGATTGACATTATTATGACTTTGCTTAATTTTGATATTGTGCGACTTTGAGCCATGATAAAGGTAATATATTATAATTAATGGTGTATATATATAGTTTAAAGCAAATATGAAAAAAGAGAAAATTTATTTTTTTAAGGTTAAAAAAAAATAGAAAGAAATTAATTGGAAAAATTATCTATATTTATTTATTTGATTTTTTGATACAAAACAAGATTAACTATTTATTTATATTATATACATCAAAATAATAATTTTATTATTATCAACAATATCATTTTCAATCCAACTTTTACCATAAAGTATTGCACGAACGAGCAGTTTCTGGATTGTATTTCGTGCTACTAAAAAGAATTGTTCACAGGCTACACTTGTAGCTTTAATAGATAAATAAAAAATAATCTGTGGCTATTTTGCTAATATTGAGAGTTATTTCTGGTGAGTTTCACTGCACAAAGATTAGTTAGTATTTCTCAATTTCGCTATTATTAATACCATTAATAATAAGATTATATATTTTTTTGAAATGAATGAGATAAAGCACTATTGTTATTGTCATTTGTTATGTAAAACAAATTAAATTATTATTATTGCAAATATGAAAAAAAAAAAAATAGATATCAAGGTTTAAATTTGATTGGTCAGGTCTTTTTGGAGTCAAAAATTTGAATTGGTTCAGACTTGTGGACTTGGAGTTAGATGGAAGGTTCAGTCAGCTCCAAATGAATTTGAATACATCTACAAGACAGTTTATATATGTGTTTGTTTAAAAATATATTTAAAGAACCATGTAAAACATACAGCAGTTGAAAGAGTAGTTAAATCAGTTATGTTAAAGACCTCTGCGAATTACAATAATTTGCAGTAGTCACTATATATGGAACACTAGAAATCATTCCATACATGGCTCCATAAAAATAAATTTTATTATAAAATCGTGCAACCAACCCATTTCGTAATAATAATAAATAAAGCCAAATAATTAAGTTCATTAGTATTAAAAGAACAGGATAATATTATCATGCAATAATTTCGTAATACCTAAACTTTCTCTAATTTTGTTTCAAAAGTTCCAACTTGGATGTAAAATGATGCTATGAAAACTTGTTAACGCACATGCATGTTACACGTGTGCAAAATTTTTTATATAAATATTTATTTATTTATACATCATCAAACCGAACCAGCAGTAGTATACGAATTAATTAATTTACATATAATGAATACAAGCAACAATCTACCATCATCATCATCTGTAATTAATTAAATCAATAGCTTGCTTTTTTCAATAAAGATAATACATACATTTTTTACAAAGAAATTTTGTTTCAATTCCCCAAATCGGATATTTTTGATCGATAACACTAGTATGTGTCAGTTTGTCATAAAACCGGTTTGGTCCGGGTTTTTGTGCCGTTTTAAAGGTACGCGGTTCCAGATGTTGGATCCGGTCCAGATTTTATTATTATTTTTAATTAATAATACATATATGTATTTTAATTAGATCCATTTTTATGGTGGACACAAGGCTTCTATTTAAGTCACTAGCGAAGCAAGCATTCTCTGCTGCAGGGAATTCAATTGGTAAAACACATAATCGTCAGTTTCCTGAAAAGTTGGTAGCGAGAGATGGCTGATTTAACATTACGAATCACATGATCAAAACCAGTTTGAACCGGCTCAATTATTATGCGAAGTATGGTCACAACTTCGAATTATGTAATGCCCGATTCCCCAACCTTATCAAATACTTTAAAATTTCCTGTTTTTTTTTTTTTTTCTAAATAGTATTTCACACCCTGTTTATAATACACTCATTCAAAAAATAAAAATGAAAAACCTTTATCCTTTAAAGTTATTTGGTTCCTTGTACCAGAAAAAATCCTCTTGCTGGAAACAATGATAATCAATTTCCTGTCGTATGTTGAAAAAAAAAAAATTGTAAATATCGACTAACTTCATTTCTTTTGACGCACAAGTATTATTTTTTTTTTTAATAACAAGATTATTCAAATTATTCATTCAATACTTAAAGTTAATTACGAATAATTCGAAACCTTATTCGAATAGAAGCCATGCATAGTAATAGTAGTAGATGATCAATTTTGAAATTTGTGAATTCGTGTGAACTTTAAATTTGCCATTCGGTATTTCGGCCTTACCCTAAAATTTTAATTATAATTATTAATTTTAAATTTCACACGACTTGATTTTGACTCACAACATGGACATTTAAATCTTGTTTTTGCTTATTGGCCATTTACCAGCTAATAATTGTCACATATCAGAGTGATGATCCGTAATATTTGATATGAACCCGAAACTACCCGAAACTAGTTTATAGTGGTTTAGGTTTGAGTTTAGGGTTCTCTCCCGAAACTGTTTAGGGAGTTTAGGGTCACATCATTGACCCTAATGTGTTTAGAGTTATTAATGATGGAATCTTTTTTGTATTTTTTGTTGAGTGGAGTCATCATAAAAAACTAGTATCTTTTTTTCGAAGCAAAACCTGTTGTCATTGCATTGGATGAGTTGTCAGATGATTCAAATGATTGTTTAAAAAGCATTGTTAACACACTATCGATATTACTAAACTAGTATTTGTTGATTATTTAATTGATATTATTATTCAACATTTAAATTTCTTTGGAATCTTTGCCTCTGATTCAGCACAATACATATACTTTGTTGTATTCACAATTTGCATTTAGTTGGATAAGGTAAATGCTGTTGCAATTTTGGTTCTGTTTTATTAAACATCAATTTAATCATAAGCCACTTTTACCTTACGTTGAATTTGTTTGGGCCTTCAAATTTATCAGCTTATCAGTTAATATAAACTAGTCAACTTTTTTAAAAGAGAAAATATTAGGTCATATGATTTAATTGAGGCTCCAAACGAATCGAACCGAGTCGATTTTTTACAAATAATAACTAGGATAAGTCAAATACAGTCAAACTTCAACAAATCTATGTCCCATGTACAAAATACATTGAATATGAATATACACGAGAAAACGCACTTTCCCGCACTAGTACCTAAAAATATGGTGTATTTCTGGGAATATGCTTTCCGTACGGAAAACACGTAGAAAACCTGCCCCTACCATTACTAGTACGCATAAGGTAAAGTTCATTTTTCCGTATGTATATTCCGTACATTAGCACCCATTACTTATTCTGTGTACAATTTTTTAGTAATAGTATAGGCCCGCATTAGAAATCAAATCATGGTTCATCGGGTTAGTTTTATATATATATATATTGATTCGAATTTCGTTGGTTCGTTCGGGGCCTTAGATTTAATGCAGATAATTTTTCAGAGGCTCTTTCGAAGCAGCCCCAATAAAAATTTTCTGATGATATTCCAAATCACCAACTTGACAAGATCTTTTTTAACGCATGTCAAATATTTAGCCCTTTCCTACAGAAAATATGAAAAGACATTCGTAATTATAGTGTAATTACTGAATTACAATATCCAAATAATGGATTACTTATAGAATGTGGAATTTGTGATTTTTAAATATACACACACACTTTCAAGTGATCTTAATTTAAAACAATTACCATTAATTTCTAAAATTGCATTAGAACATATTTGACTTCCAATATCAAGTTGCGTAGTTCTTCAATCTACATTCTCATTTGAATAGTGATTGCCAAGATAAATTTTTTTTATTAAAGAAATAATAAATTAAAAATTCATAACAACAACAATAATAATAATTGATTGTTTTTTTTTATTGGCTCGTATTGATGTATTATTGCTGCATCATTCTAGCATGCTAATTTTAGAGAAAATACTACTTTTAAAAAAATGGCAAGATACGTAAACAAACTGTTTTGGTTTATTGCTATGCTGAGATCCCAACATCACGACCTTCAAATCTATTTATCAACTTTCCAGTAACGATATTATAAACTGATCGCCTGAAACAATTTCTTCTGAGAACATTGTCACCATGTCTTTGAAAAGAAATATGTTTATGTCAGTAATGATGCCAATTTTGTCTCATTAGATGATGACAACGATACATTCCTTTGTATAGATTATTCTTGCTATTACTACTGCTATTATTGCTATTGGTATCATGATTATTATATAAATTTTTTAAAAGAACTTTATCATATTTATCCAAAGAAAAACTATTATAGTGAAATAATCTACACCACCGATGATGCTGTGGCCCAAACTTTTAACTTAGGTAGAGATTTGGGTTTAGGCTTAGAGTATGGTTCCCTCCATTCCAAAACTATTTAAGGAATTCAAAAGAATTTAGATTCACAGCATTATCACCATCTGCCATATCTCTCCAACTAGGCTACTTGATAATGATTATAATGATATCAACAATTTCTATTGGTAGTCTTATAAAAAATTTTGAGCTCTATAATTGAAAAAAAGTAAAAAAGTAAATCTGAAGTTAAAGTTTCAATCTAATTACAAAATATTAACTAAAATTAAATTTACTTATTAAAGATTGCGTGTGACGAGATACTTATAATGATATTTAATTATGGATGGAAATGACTTCATTATTTAATAATAGTGACGATGAAAATGATAACTCTCCAATTTCTTCAGCACCCAAGACCACGCTACCACCACTTGTTAAAACATCGTTTGATGAATATGATAACAACTCTCTAAGAAAGAAGTACAAATAGGCAATAATTTTAATATCAACGCAAAATGGTGTAATTAATGTATCAAAATGAAGTTGAGCCCTGTAAAACCAAAGAAGTAAATATAAATAAACTTGCCAGCTTTCAATATATTCCTTTGTCAACAACCTTCTCACCTCCACAATCTTTTTTCGTTTTTTAACGATCTTCCAGACGTAGTTTCGGATCTGTTTGTTTCATTATTATCAATTGAGCTTTGTGAAGTACTTTCGATTTTTGGACCATGTCATAAAAAAAAGTATATATGTATTATATATGTATGATTAATAGTAATTATAAATGTGTAATACAAAATCATCATCCATATGATAATAAACTCTTATTAACTTGATATTTATTTTCCCTACTTATAATTTTCCAAGTTTTCTTTCGATGATAATCAGCCTGTAATTATTGTTGAAGGAATTTTTCTAATAGATGAGAAAATTAGAGACCTAACACTATTGACGACGATTCAAGAACAACTAGACTGCAAAGAAACTCGTTGATTTTCCTCATGTTTATAACAAACAAGGAAGACTAATAACATATGAAGCCATCCCATGAAAAATCTGTAAAGCAGGCAGACTTGATTCTTGCTAATGATGGAGAAAAATAATTACTCCGATTGGAGGATATTGGTAGTACAGCTGTGATTTGCTAAAATTTTGATCGCGGTAGTACACAATGTTCGCTATTGCGTTATTGCGTCTTAATAATACTGTTTTTAATAAATATTATTATGAATAAAAAAAAAAGGAAATTCAAATTTTCCGAAGATAAACTTTTAATTTTGGAATAAAAATATAATTTCCTTTATTCTATTTTTACTTTGAGAGGTTTCTAAGAATCCTATCGCATAAACCAATTAGTACTATTTCCGGCCCTAATCGCAATCAATACTGCGACCAAAATACATTCTTGAATTCCAGAAATAGTTTGGGAAAAGAAGAGCCTACCAGAAACCTGAACATAAACTTCTAACTTTTATGGCTGGACAAAGATATCAGCAATGTTGCAATTTTCACAGCATTGTTCGTAATTTTCACAACATTTTTGTGATTTTTGTGTCACTTTATTAAATTACACTGTTGTAAAAAGATTGCAACGTCTCTGCAAAGAATTACAACGATTGTTGCAAAAGATTAATAACGTTGCTGCAAAATATTTAACAATCCTGTGAATAATTACAACGCTACTGCAAAGAATTACAACAATGTTGTGAATGATTACAAAGTCACTGAAAAAAATTACAACAATCCTGTGAATAATTACAACGCTGCTGCAAAGAATTATAACGAGCGTTGTAAAAAATTGCAACAATGTTATAAATAAATACAATACTGTTGCAAAGGATTACAAACGTTTCTTTACACCTTTGCAAATGGTCATGGTCAACTTCTAAGTTAATAATAAAGAGGATGTGATTTTGGCATGAAAATATTGCAATTTTCAACTTAAAATCACGAAAAATATGAAGATATATATTTTTTCTCTTTTAAAAAAAAGATATTATCATTTATATCAATACATACAATTTATAATTTTATTGAAAAAAAAGAACGAAAGTTAAATATATACGGACACATACATACACATATTCATAATAAAACATTCCCTAAAAAATACATAAAAATAGGACTTAAAAAAATGAGGAAATCAGAAAAGAAAGATTTAGGGTTGAGAAAAGGCCAAAAAGAGGATAACATTTCAATACAGAATACAGAATTAATTAAAATTAGACAAAAAAATTGATAATTGCGTGTACATTTATTATCATAATAATGATAAAAATGCAGATGTTTAACAATTGATCATTAATAAAATTTATGACAAAAATTTGTTATGCATGTGAATATTCTTACGCATCCCACAAGCAATTGAAATCAAAGACTAATTCTATTTCCTCCGTGAATACATCAGCCTTTCCAAACTTATCGACATCATCTATAAACATAAAACTATCAAGAACATCTTATACAACAACTTCTTTCAACTTACCATCATTCTCTATAGATACATCAACCAATTTATCATTACCATTATATACGCTAACTTCTTCTTTAACCTACCATCATCTTTTAGAAATGCATCAACTTCTTCCCAATTTACCATCATCTTCTACAAATACATCAACTTCTTCCCAATTTACCAGCATATTCTACAAGTATACCAACTCCTTCCAACTTAACATCATCATCTATGAATATACCAATTACTTCTTTCAACTTAACATCATCACCTTTTACCAGTCATTTGGCAAGAGAAATGCAGAATGTATTTGAATTTAGAAGAGGTTTAAATACTTCTGAATTTACTAATAGCAATGGCACTAATAATAATGAGCGTTAATCCTTGCGTAACATACAGTAAGTAATAGATGAAAAGGGAAAAAAATAAAACAAGTAATAAAGGAATTATTTAGAACTACAATTTATTTGTTATTATTATGATCAATGAATATTAATTGCTGATACCCGTTACTTCCAATCCAAAGTACCTGGCTGTAAATTGGTGATATTTTTTAGGTAACCAAAATAAATAAATATCAATACGTTTTCCTATATGAATTAATATAAGAATTAAGGTTGAGCTTAATGGAAAAGAATTTATTATTCGAGTAACTCAAGATAAAAAAAATGATTGGAAACCTGGTTATATGTGTGAGTTGAATGATAATGTAGTGTGAAGTGATAAATGAAAATTACCAAAATTTTTTGATGGAGAGACACGTTTTGATGAAAATATTTGTTGAACAAATTAATTACGGGTATGCATATTATTTTTTCCATTTGAAATTGTTACTAATGAATGGTATTACGATTTTTGTAGAAGTACATGATGATTCGGGTAAAGAAGAATTGGATTTTTCCCAATAAGGTAAACATTCTTAATCGAAAAAAAGAATTTTTTTAATATATGGGGTCTGTACTAGGAAAATCAAGCTTCCGGCTATTTTTTTTTTTTTGTCTTTTTACTCAATAATAGTCTCTAATAAAGGATTTACAGTTGGTGAAAAAATTGAACCCTGTTTGCATAGCAGAAAAATGAGATACAAGGCTTGGAATATTTTCTTTATATATTAAAAACATGTGTAACCAAATTTATAAGGGTTGTTACTAAAAATAGATTTTTTATCTGGAAGCTTGATTTTCCTAGTACAAACCCCATATTTGTTTTTTATATTAAATAGTTGTTGATTATATTTAGATAAACAACCAAAAAACTACAAGTCTAATAATGTTCAATTAATAAATATATTTCTTCTCATTAACCAAAACAACATTGATATTTAAAAGTATATCTTATATTTCAATATAGAAACATTTGAACTAAAGGGGGATGGGCTTTGAAAGGCATCCAAAATATAAAAGGTGGAGGAAAACGAATGACTAAAAGAATAAACCTTACTTTGAGGGCAGGTAATGTAAATAAATCAGATTGAATGACAACAAAAGAAATGGTAAAGTCTAATTCAAATTTTGGTGATGTTGTGGAATTACCCAATAATAATGAATAATTTAATTACAGTTATCATTTATCAATGTTTTGCGTTTTCTAATTAATTGTTATTTATTTTCTATAACAATCTCTTTTTCCAATTTTCCTAGACTTTATCAACCACCGTTTGACTTTTCCTCCTTCTTGCATTATTTCATCTGTTCTTTCGTGATTAAATTAAGTTGACGAATCTGTTAATTGATTGGTTGAATCAGTAGATCAGTCCCAAATTTGTATAAAATTTGTTATTTTTTTGTTTGTGGAATATTTTTGTCATGTTATTGATTTTATCTATCTGCTTCTATCACACACGCATCACAAATTAATTGTATTCACTAGGGCAATAGATGCTGATGGATCTTCTTGTCAACATCACAAAAGGTTTTGTCTTCTCTAATATTAATGCTAGAGAAATCATGGAATGTGGCCATGATACTTATTACATACATTTCCATAGAATATTACTTTTTTTAATAATTATTAGTATATGTTTGGTGAAATTTTATATTGGACTTTAATGCATCAAAGAGCTTGGCCAAATTTTGTTCATAATATTTTTAAGTTGATGTGAGGAATTGGTTGGCTACATCAATGTAGCAACCAACATATTCATATCAAAGATTAGTAAATGGCATAAAAAATAATAATTTGGCAGAAGGTGATTCGGAATTTATTGTGGGAAATATAACATCCAAGTAAATATTTTTTTCTTATAAACTTATTCCTAGTTTAAGATTGGGTGTTGGATGATAGAGTTGTTAGCAATAACAAATTATTTATTATGATTTGTATTTGTTAATGTTTGTTTTGTTACACTGTGTTTAGGAATTGCATATTAATAATTTAAAAAATTACATATACATTTAGAATTGCCAATTATAATGGAGATATCAAATTTTATTCTGGAAGAAGAATTGTATGTCAGCAGAAAACAATTCATTGATCAAATCAAAAATGGTTTCAATCAATTCTAAGTTTCGAGTCCAAACTATTCCCAAAAAAAAAAAAGGTAGTTTTGATAATAGTTTGGGCTTCTCAATACTTTTCATAAGAATGGACATGTAAAAACTATATAACTCAAACTTTACCCAATTTCAGCTATTAAATAAAAAGTGGTTTGGGACTGTGAAAATTTAATTTTTGCCCAATGCATTTTGGAAATTTTGGCTACTAAGAAAGGTAGTTTCAACTGGAAACCTTATATAATTCAAATATATATTTTTATTAAATTCTTAGTAAAAAATATTATTTGAAAAATCTAATTTAATAATATTAATGTTCATTTTAGTTATTAAAAGATGTAATTGTCATGAATTATGAAATTATATAATATTGTAAGGAATGCTTTAGATATTAGATACATAATCAATTCTATCTGGACTTACATCTAGGGTTTGTATTCATGGTATCCGTGAATACAGAAGAGCAAGATCAAGGTGTGATGAAGTATACTTCTGGTGCTATTGGACTTCCTCCTAATATAAAATACAGGTAAGAGTCATAATTAATATGGTTAATTCTAATGATACCTGACAAAATGTTACATGAAAAATGTAATTTATCACAAAGAGCATATTGATGAAAAGGAAAAAGAGGGAAAAGTTGACAAAAAAAGAGTTGGCAAGAGAGAAAAATTTAACCATTTTCACAAAGAAATTTTTGTATAATAATTTTTATTTAAACTTGTTTTACATTTTACATTTAAAATATTATTTTAAGAGAAAATTTAATTAATTTTTTAATTTTTTAATTTTTTACTCTTTTGTCTGAGTCAAATTTGGATGAGCTACATAAATTATGTTTTTTCCTAATTTTTGAGAATTATTATCATCATCTTCATTTGTATTATTTCCATAATTGTTATCAATTTATTACTTGTAAGACTGTTATTAATGTTAATATCATAACATTCTTGTTCTGAATAATTATTTCTATCAGTTTCATTAACTTCACAATAATCATGAAAATAATTATTTTCTGAATTATGTTCACTTTCTTTTACTAAATCTCTTGGATCATAATTATTATCAGACAATTCATGAATAGATTCATTTTGATTAGTTTTGACTATGCAACCAACACTTTAATGAATATTAAATTTAAAAGAAAAAATTTTGTTAAAAAAAAATTTTTTTAGAATTATTTATAATATTTCCTTTTCATCATATTTCCTCCTTTTCCCTCTTTTTGTCACATTTACCACATTTTACCAACGAAATTAACAATGATTTGACGAAATAATTTCCTGCCTACAAAAACATTTCATCAGGTATCATTAGTTAATTCTATTGTTAAAATTTAATTAATGATAACTATCAAATTAATTATATTGGTGGAAAGCCCCATCTTCTAGAGGTCTTTTAAAATTGGCTAATACTTCAATGTGCTTTAATAAATTATGCTTATCTAATTCATATAAAGTTGAAGTTGAAGAATTAAATATTAATCAAGCCAATAATATTGGTTACTGTGACCATTACATAGATTGAATGAGTAAATTTATTTATAATTTGGGGCATGCTGCAACAAAACCAGACAAAGTGAACATTGGTATTACCAAGAATTTCAGGGATCAAAATTTGTAATGTGATTATTAAAATT